AACTGAATTATATTGCTGAGAACAAGCTGACTTATCTGAAAACTTACAACACCAGTGAATTTTGTTTGATTCGTGCCAAATTATCCAAATTAGAAGTGAAAGTTACTAACATGCAAGACAAAATGAGAGGAGGAGGAGGAAGCACTTACCAGAAAAAAGAAGGACAAGGGGAATCGGGAGAAAAAAAGAAAACTAGACAGACGGATCCATGCTACATCTGCAAAGAGTTAGGGCATTGGGCCCCAGATTGCCCCAAGAAAGATTTGTGCTACAAGTGCGGGAAATTTGGCCATTGGGCTAATAAGTGTACAGAGGATGAGGAGGATCAACAATTCGTAAAAGAAGTACAAAAACTGGAGAAAAAGCCGCAGGAACCCACGACTTCAGGGACCCACCAGACCAAACCTCTAGTGAAAGAAGGAGACAAAAAAGAGAAAAAGGAACACAACAGAGAGAATCCAGGACCCAGCACTACTCACAAGAGGAAACTATCCCTGATGACCGATAAGGCCCAGAAGAAGAAAAAGTAATTGTTGTATTTTTTTACTTGAATAAAATTGCTGTGTTCTTGTTTCTATTGTGTGTTATTGTTTTTTTTTCCATTTTCGGAAAATCACTGTGAATGAGTGACGTCATAATCAAATTCTTGAATCGCTGCCAAAATCGTAGTAGCAGCGTTGTGAATCGTAGTAGCAGCGTATAGTAAAATGTAAGCAGTGTAAACACCCCCGTATTTAGGGGCTAAATGTAATGAATTGACCCCCCTATCCCCCACAGACCCCCCTAATCTGCACTCCGTTGAACCCCCTATCCCCCAGGGCCTAAAAGTGCACTCCGTTGAACCCCCTATCCCCTCAGCCCCAAAAGTGCACTCAGTTGAACCCCCGGCCAGGCCCCTTATACTACTTACGTTTAATAAGTGAAAATTAAAGAAGCATGTACTTTTTAAGTACATTGTTACAATTGTCCCATAGACATACGGCGCGTTGTAAATTGCAATAAAGTTTGACTAGCACATGCAATCTCCATTGAGAAGAATTATATTGTCATTATAATAACATGTATTTTATCCCGTCTCGAAAGATGAATTTTAAAATAAAAGGATAGAATCAAGTCAATAAAATAGGCCCTCAAGATGAAAATCGTCTGCAATGGTTGTATTTTGTCATTTTTTTCTTACAGTTAACACTATCAATTCTCGACTTTACCTCTTCTATGGAAAATATGATTTTATTTTTTATGAGTCTACCAAGGACACATCCTTGTTTGATATTTTTTCTTTACAATTTCTTCCGACAAGCAAATGTTGAACTTCTCTTAGCAGCATAGCTCAGTTTTTATGGAAAAATTAAATATGAAGGAAATATATAATATTTTGAAATAATGTCATGCATCTTAAACACATATACAGACTTGAGATAGTTTTAATATCAATGTGTATATCCAAAAATATACTATTTAAGTTAAATGTTTAATCTATGTTAATGTCTTAAATTGGTGACAATATTTGTGCTACATTTTATAAACTTAAACTCAATGTTCACATTACGATTCATGACTGTTTATAGAAAAGTTTGGAATCTCTCTATAGACAATTTTACGAATGAATCAAGTTTAAACGCATTTAAAAAAGGTGTTATTCCGCTTTTTTTAAAATTAAGACAATGCTATTGACTTAGCATTATAACGCCTTTCACAAGATATGAAAAATTGGATTCAATATATATTCTATTTCATTAAAGAGGGGGTTGTCTAAAATATTAGAAGACTTTATTAGCTTTAATAGGTCGCAAGGAAAGGTTGTGTAAAAAATATAATTTATGAAGAGTTATACGTTTGATGTAATGACTTTAATTTGTAGAAATTATTTTTTGTAATGTTATTTTGATTTTTTTTTTTAGAATTTCATTGTTATTTTGATTTTTTTTTTTTTTAGAATTTCATCTGTTTCACACCACTTTTTGAATACGCGGCGGATATACATGTAGGTAGGATAGATCAAACTCACTCTTGTAAACTGGATTGTTAAAAATTTAGAACTGCATTGTGGTTTTGAAGATTCAATTCTTATAAAGAGTGTTTAAATTAGAATCATCCTCTTTTCAATTTGAATTATGATACCATGGTATTTCACAAACGTTTGCTATGAAAACAATATGGGATTGCAAAAAGTTCTATAAGCAGTAAATGAGAATTATATGCACAAGTATTTATTCGAAATGTATTTAACTGCTTGTTTAATGACACATCATGGTTTCCTAGGATGCGGTCTAGAATTTATTTAATTTTTACTAGTGTCTTTAAAAGGAACTTGGAAGCATAATCTTTAAAAGGTTATGCTGGCTGCTTTTTAATACTGTATTGTACCTAAAAGTTCATCTTTAAATGTAGCATTTTCTGCTCGAAATTTTAACAATAATAATGAAAAAAAAATATTTTCAAGAAACAACAAGAAATTGCAAACTTTTATTGTAAAATCGAAATAATTATTAGACAAACATATACAAGTATAAGCTCTATAAATAAACATTCTGTAAATCACGTTTTCTTCGTGAGAACTTTATTTTCGCTTTATTACGCGAGAAAATTGGCTCGCAAAAATTTCATACTCGAGTTCATTATTATTTCTAAAAATTATACAAAGCAATAACCATAATTTGTGAAAAATTCGTCTCGCTAACTCAGAGTCAATGATTATCTTGCAAAAATAAGGTGTCACTAAAATATAGTGATCTACAGTAGTCTTAATACTCAAGGCCTTAAACTTCTCATTAATGAGCCATATATCATTTTCATATGATAAATTTGCAATTTGATAACAAGTTACTTTGACAGGCTTCTTTGAATATAAAAAGATTGTATAACACACGAATTTCTAATTTCCCATACAGAAGTACGTTCATTGCTCTTTTTCATAGAAGTCCAATTAAAAGTTTTTTGAGTCAATTTGTAAAAATAAGTCTTTGATTAGTTTTAACTAAGTCTTAACTAGCTTTGTCATAACTAAACTTTAATATTTATTTAATTTTTCACCATATATATATATATATATATATATATATATATATATATATATATATATATATATATATATATATATATATATATATATATATATTGATCTATAATATTACATTTTTTCCATTTTTCCAAAAAATTTTGTAGTTTAGCCAGTTTTTTTAAGTAAACATATCTCTTCTTCAGCATTATAGCTTTTTAATTAAGTAAAGCTATTTCACTTTGGGAAGAAAAAAATTAGTTTTTTCATCCTTTAATTATAGATGAATTCATTGATAAGAGTAAAATTGATAAAGATACAGCAAACATACTATACACACAAAGTATAATACATTTAAAAATACTGATAACTTTAGAACGTCTGCAGCAGACCTGTTTACAAAATAATTCAATTTTCAATTAACAGTCCGCTTATTCATCGCTTAAAATGTTTAAAATAGTCTGCAGATTACATTCCTAAAAGACTTTCTATTAGTACTGTTAAAGTTATATATTGTGAATTTCCTAATTTTCGTGGGGGTGCAATTTTCGTTGTTTTCGAGGTATGAAGAGACCCACAAACTTATGTCCAACATGAAATGTAATTTTTCACAGATATTACCACTAAACAATTTTCCATCCACGAAATAAAATCCCAACGAACTCATTTTTTCCTGAATCCATAAAAATTTGACCCCTCGAAAATATGTGATTTTACAGTACAATTTTATAGTTATTTATACATTTACATGTCTTAAAAATGCTAAAAAAGATCCTCATAAACCAATTTCAGACAATACGGCAATACAAGGTTGACATGTGTCACATCAATGACTGGTACTATGATAAAAAAAATGAAAAAAAAAATATATCCTCTGTACATGTACAATGTCAGACTAATTTCGAGATCAGAGATTCTTCATTATATATACTAAATGATATGTGTTTAAAACGCTAAAGGTGTCCTTATCACAACATCTATGAACATACTGGAAATGCATAATAAATAATAAATGACCCTGATGCTTTAGAGGCTTACATACCAGACCTGGAGATATAAGATGCGTATTCTGTACATTTTTCTAATTAAAAAACGTGTTAGTATTAATTTATTTTTGTATATCTGTTGTCTCTATTTCTCAAATGACTTATTATGAGGGAGCAAACAGGACACCGTCCTAAAATTGCCCAATTCATTATGTTTTCGTGGCAAAATATGTGTAATTTAAATTTAATCTATAGAGTTTGGAATTATAAACTTTGGTCCATTCTGATCTAATTGTAAATATTCATGTATCAAGTCATTAAAATCTTTCACGGTATGACTTTTTGCCCATCCCTATGAAGTAAAAGTGTTAGTCTCCAGATATAGAATCGTACGGAAGTACCTCCCTGCCGAAGTTTCAGCGCCTCGGTCGTTTCCGAATATGTTCCTCTGGAAACGAATTGTTCCTTTTTGCATTCCCTGGGGTCACGAATTGCATTGTGAAATCACGTGAGAAATATCCTTTGAATAGACCAAAAGTAAGGAGATCCTCTAAAGCTCGTGCAGCTGCCTGAGTTATCTTTTTTGTTTGGAGTGTGTCTGAGCCCAAGAAGCAAACATCTGTAGAACAGAGTTTAAGCAGAATAAAAATAAATAAAATATTCAAAGGCTCTTACCTCCTAATACAAATAGAAATTCTTTACGATTCATTGATTTTACTCCCCGAAGTACATTTTTATGAAAAGAAAATGTTAATTGTGGTACGTACTCATCTCAAAAAGTTTCAATGTTTTCTGCAATTTTTAGTTTCAAAAAGTCTTTATGTTCCTAGGCCTGTAGTCAAAGATTCAACTTGGTACTTACGTAGTCTCAGTAACTTTTCTGTTCCAATTGTGGATCTTGAGAAGAAGATTTTGAAATGACTACAAGCTATATTTCTTGTCTTTATAAGCTATCCTTGTAAGAGGTCATAGTTCTTATTTTATCAATTTTATCATTTTCAAACGCCTTTCACCCAAGGAATCTTTGTTTCAACATTGGCTATAATTGGTACAGTAGTTCTTGAGAAGATCTTTTAAAATATCCAAAAAGGGGTGTTTGTGAAACAGTGATGACCTCGTATGACAGCTTATGGCAAGGATTAAAGATTCCCAGATCCAAGTCAAACCCCAAGGACAAAAGGTCATGTTTGTTAGTATTCAATGGAAAATCTTGTCACAAGGAATACACCTGGGAATTGTAAAAGTTCTTAGACTAATTGTTCACAAGTTATTGCAATGGTTTATTTTTTTAAAAGTGGGTCAAACTCTAAGGTCAAGGTCAAAAGGTCAAAAAATACTTATACCCATTAAAAGGTCTTGTCACAATAAGTATACTTGTGAAATATGAAATCCCTATTCCACCCTCAAACGTAATGACCAAGGTTAAACTTAGGGTTATTTTTGTAAGGCCACATTTATAAATATATTTCCATCTTTCCCACAGGGCTGTCTTAACTTAGTCAAGAGTAGTTGAAAAAAATCTTGTCTTCAAACCCTACAATCCATTTACTCATACAGATTTTCGATTGAAAAATGAGATAGAATTGATGGAGGTCAGTTAATTTGGATATTTGCTTTTAAAAAAATCTTGCTGAACTAAACAGGGTGATAATGCTAGCGCTGACAAAATAGGCAAACTGCGCTTATGTACGCGAGTGAGACTGTTCTGACACAAAGATGGTGATCTCCAATGCAAATATAAATATACACATACATGTACATGTAAGAAATAGGGTTACCTTTTTTTAACAAGGAAAAATGTCGTCGCCAAAGATCTGTGAATTTATCACTGTGCACTTTACAGTGTGAGCATATAACACTAAATCCTTTTATATGATAAACAAGAAATTAAAATTTAGAACTTCTTGGTCTTGATTGAAATATTCGAACTCAAAATATCAAGGGGCACTCACTTATCTAATACTGTAATTTTACGAAGAAAAATTTTGAAGTATTGTTAAGTCTGACCCTTTAATTAGTTTATATCTTAAGCAATATACCTAATCCATTCCCTGACTTCCCCTCTCGGTTCCACCCCCTGTCTTCGTAAATGTTTCCACTCTCACTTATGAGGAAATTGTATCCAGTGTCAAAAAGATCTGAAGAATAAATAGTAAAAGTAATTTCCATATTACTTTAATGATTGTTACTTGCCTATTTATTTTCATTAAATTGCAAAAAAATCATATCATTTCCTACTTTTGAACATTAAGGGAAATGAAATATTGTAATTTTATCATGACAAAATTTGAAATCCTAAAAGAGGTGAAATATTGTCAAACAGGCACAAAGTTACCTTCATCACATGAAATGAAACCGTAAGTAACGATATCAAATATTTTCTGAAAATGAATCACAAATTTCAGAATTGCAAACAGATGGATTTATGATAATTTGAAGAACTAAAAGCTTAAGTTGATATTCTCATATACATTCTCTCACTCTATTTTTCAAAATTGAAGTTTTTAAAATATTTAAAAGTCAACTTTCTGAACATAAAATTTGGATTTGATATAAAAATAAAAAAGTTAAGATTAAAAAGCCTTTATCTTAAAGAACAACGAGTGAAATCAACAAATGAAAAACGTCTGGTTTGTCTTGAATTTAAGTGTCAGATTTTTTTTATTTATCACATGTTGAATAAAAAAAAATCAAATTATTGCAAAAAATACAATAATTATGCTTGTCAAAGTTTTTAAGTCCCCACTTTTATTTTTTTCAAAAAGTTAAAAACCTTAACATCAATTTACTAGGTGCTTACTACCTTTAATTTGCAAAATTTACCCGTCATGGTCAAACAAATTGTAATCGAATGTGTAATTACTCGACTGTGACCGTTTTGTTAAAAAGCATATGCATGAAGTGCGAGTTCCATATGATTTTTCGGGTGTATTCATATCTTTTTTTACTTACTTTTACTTTGCTTAAAGTATACATGTATATTGCACAATGAGATCAAGATATAAGTGACCACATTAACTTCCCTCTCTTTTAAAAAAAGAAAATTATCTCACCAGGACTGTAGGCGTCAGAAGAAGCTGCTTTAAGTTTTCCAAATGATCCCTGTCTGTTTTCTTCAAATATGTCATCGTAGTGGAGGTTTACCGAGAACGAAATATAATACAACGTTTGCTTGAAAAAAGTAGTGGAATCCTCGTAGTCTGGATACCATTGTTTTAAGAAAGCTGATATTCCTGTAAATAGAGTAGTCAATATCGAAATAAATATAAAAAAAAAAAGAATCTATACCTTTGTTTTGAACATGGTAGAAATATTTTCCTTTAGATATGCAAGTAAATATTTGAAAAACGATTTCAAAGACAAAGAAATCTCAGTTCTTATGACATTACCAAAAGCATTTTAAATAGGAATTGAATTTATTTTAAACTTAAATTAATATCTAAAGACAAAATGATAATTCTATTAATACAGTTATATATACCATATACTATATAATAATATATCATACTGAAACCTTATCTATTCAGGTTAACTACATTATTCATCAACCTACCACTATGAAGGTGGCTATATTGAAACGATTTCATATTTTTCACTGATGCAAAAACCCCGTGGGGATCCGGGTTAGAATAGGTCCTCAGTACCCCTTGCTTGTCGTAAAAGGCGACTACTAGTAAATGGGACGGTCCTTCGGATGAGACCGTATAAACCGAGGCCCCGTGTCACAGCAGGTGTGGCACGATAAAGATCCCTCCCTGCTCAAAGGCCGTAAGTGCCGAGCATAGGCCTAAATTTGCAGTCCTTCACCGGCAATGGTGACGTCTCCATATCAGTGAAATATTCTGGAGAGGGACGTTAAACAGTATACAATGAATCAATCAATGATGCAGGAGCCCTTCAGCAACGATGATCTAGAATGTTAACTATGAAGCTTCTGTAGATCGAGTTACATGTACAAGTATTTATCGGATTTCAATCAGTCAGTGCTTAACGTTTTATATTCAAGCAGAGGAAGGGTGTACTTAACAGATTAGTTTTGTCAGGTGGATTGTATTACAACTTAAATTAAAGGAGGGTTGCCAGTACGAAAAAAAAACAATATTTTTCGAGGCTAATCATAGTTAAAGAGGCTTGCATTTTAGAGGTAGAACTCTTTGAAGTTATCTCATTGGCCGTTCTTCTTCGATTAGGGAAGATTGCCAAAGAGAGCAGAACACTGTCTGTACTGAATAAGACAACAGACAAAACATGGCAACTGCTGCTTCTTGAGTTGTACAACCTTTCTTCAGCTGTGCTTGCCGTAGATGTTACGTAAGGCCTGAATAAGACATACTTCTTTCTTGAATTAGATAAAATTTAATTCATAAAATAGTAAGTTTATAGGTCGACGAAGTGTGATTTTCCCCTAAGTAAGGAGAGGGTTTTAGTTAGCTAGTAAAATCATTTGAAAGAGGATTTTTTTGTTTATTCATTTGAAATCCCCAGATCCTGGAATCATTCGTCTACTATTCCCAACATGGGATATTGGTTAACATTTAGTTGAAGTGTTTATTTTTGTCTCTTTTTTATTTGGAGGCAATAAATATTTCTTTTATTATTGTGATACTGTAATAAATATTACGTTTCGGAAGTAGAAAAAAAAGAATTAAAGATGTGACAAGAAAGCTAAGGATTGCCAAAAACAATCAAAAGGAGAAGAGATATTCATGTATACATGTACCTGGAAGTAGGAATATAAGTATAGTAACAAGTGTTAAACGGAACTGGAGCAAAACCATAAAAAAGGTAAACTACTAATTTTCTTGAGTATGACAAGATCTGATCAGAGTGAATTATCAAGTGCACCATACACCAACACTGCAACCCACAAGGAGACTCGAGATAGTGTTAGACGCGGTGCAAAAGGACACTAAAGACAAGGACGTTGGTTCTGGAATGAAGAAAGACAAATCACACCCCATTACCGGCAACTGGGACAGCCGATGCAACTGTGACAACAGACAGCAAAGTTGTTTTTCGCAATGACAGAGACTTAATTGATATTATATTCCTGACTATTTATAACATTTATTTACATTGTTTGGTGGTTTACTGTTTTGATCTTATCTTAAACTATTTTTCTGTTGAATATAAAACTATGATTTCTTATAAAAACAAAATAAGAACAGAATAAAGTTAAATTTTAATACTTGTTCAAGAAAAATTGGTAAATTGAGCTTAAAGAATTAAAACCGTTACTCTGCGATCACATTTCTTGTTGTAAATAATACATTTAGGCTCTCTACGGCATCACTGCATAATGTGGATACATGTAGTCTTCGTTGTTTAATAAGTTAGCTGTACGCGTTTGATTTTGATGGGTCCTAAGATTTTGGCTGTCTTGAACAGCAGATAATCGTTCACATGGCAAACACTGACAACAGATGATGGCAATCGGTAACATCTTATTTTAATCTAGATTTCAACTTTTTAAATGATTTTTAAACCAAGTTCATTGACAAAATGTCACTAGGTGTTAGATATCTCTTAATTGTATAATTTATTATTTCAGAAGATGAATGCTTTATTAGAAATATAATCTTTCTGCAAACATTTGCTGCAAGTCTGCATGTTGGTAATCAATGAAAAGTTTGATTCAGTAGCTGTCGTATATCAACTATTATACATGTGGCCAATATTAGCATCAAAGAAAATTAACCAAAATGTGAAGCTTATTAAGATAGAGCAAATTTAAATTTTATGAAACCTTGTATCCATTGTTTCCGATTGCCATATTTCGTTTTAAATCTGCAGTCATTGTTTGCCTCGTCTGTTGTCCACGACAACCAAAATAATTTGATCCACGAAAATCAAGAGCTTGCGGCACTTTTATTAAACACCAAAGACTATCCACATTTTGCAGTTATGCCGTAGAGAGTCTAAATTCATTATATAGAAAAAGAAATGTGATCGTGGAGTAGCAGTTTTGATTATTTTAGCTTAGTCTGAACAATTTTTCTTGAACAACGATTGAAATTTAACTTTATTCTCTTTTTAGTTTGTTTCAATAAAAAAATTATGATTTTATCTTCTACAGAAAAATAGTTTATGGAAAGATCAAAACGGGAATCCACAAAACCAAAGTAAATGAATGTTAAAAAAGTCAAAAATATGATATCAATTAAGTCTCTGTCATAGCGAAAAACAAGTTTGCCGTCTGTTGTTCCAGTTGCATCGGCTGTCCCAGATGCTGGTAATAGGGTGTGCAAATATGGAGGAAGTATCACTTGGATGGATTTTAATTCTCTTTTTAAAATATATGTTATCATATATAAAAAGTCAGTAGCAATAATAAGCACGTATCTACCGGTATCATCGAGAGGACAAACCCAGGGTTTCTTCAATAATGTATACGAGTGAGAAAAGTGTATCTAGACTGTTGTGTAAGGTACTGAGTCATATTAACAAAAGAACTAACACCTACATGTAAGACAAAAAGGTTTAGCTGATTTTAAAATTTTGCAAAATTAATGATTTTGTATTACATGCAAATGGTAGCGTACAGATATCGAACTACATTTCTTTAAAGAAAACAAACTAAAACCATAACCAATGTATGTAAACTAGAATGTTATGATCAAAATAGTTTTTGGTCTCGTGAGTTTGTTAAGTTCTAAAGTAAAGCTTGTAAAAAAAAGTTCTATTTAGTAAATCCCTGAACAAGAATTTTTCCACAAAACTATTTGGCCGATATCTGCAGAGCACATCTCAGAGATAAAACAGAAAGAACAAGATGTGCTTGTGAAACACTGATGCCCTCGTTTGGCAACATAGCGAAGGTTAAGCTTTCTCTAATGCAGATCAAATATGTTGGTACCTAAAGTAAGACCTTTTTCACAAGAAATACAGATGTGAAATATAAAACCCTAGGACCATCTATTGAAAGGTTATGACTAAGGTTAACTTTTTTAAAGGTAGGAAAAACTCCGGGGTCAAAGGGTCAAGGTTGTTGGTTTCTAAAGAAAAGCCTCGTCTTAAAGATTACATATGGGAAGTATGAAAGCGCTTTAGTGATGTTTCGGGGTCATACGTGACACGTAGGTCTACTGATCCAACTCATCATCCAAAAATAAACCGAAAGAGAACTTGTCTACCCATCAATCGCAATGAATTTAAAACTATTGCCAATAGACCTTTGTCGCGATGGCTGTCAAACCATTGTAACAGTGCGCTTTAATTGATTACAAACATGAAGCATTTACTATAAAAGTATTGGGAAGGATTCCAACAAATCCAATCCTGGTTAATGAAAACAAAAAGGTCTCACTTTGTACTTTCAGATGACCCCATTGCCTTGAAGATCTGGATCACGTAATGACCTTGTCAGCAAATTCAATCTATCATTAAGTCGAAAGCTGACTGACGTTTTTTTTATACTTATTGTAAGACAATTATTTACACACTGAATTGTGGACGGATTTTTCCGTTATTTTCCGATCAAATCAAGGAGCACACGGCGGGTATGACCGGTCGGACTGTTCAATCACTCCATGGCACCTAATCCAATCTCTGATATTTTAGAGGTCCGTGTTTGCTTTACTCCTGGTTTGTATGTTTGAATGGACTTTTGGGATTGAAAACTGTTCATTATCTCCGAATCTTTCAACCATTACAACATTTCTAGATTACCAAATAATGGTAGATGCAAATGGTACTTAGTAGTGGTTAGCGCCTTCCGCTGGCCAGTTCAATCTAAACCGAGTATATATCAGGACCCTAGCTACTACACCTCAGTTACAGGAAGAGTGTCTTGGCAACGTAACTTAATCTGAATAAATCACAAAAGTATTGAATGAAAATACATTGTAAATGAAATTACAGTGTATTTCTTTGAAAAAGTGAACAAAATAAAATGATAATACATGTATAGAATAGATCTAGAAATACTGAATAAATTTCTATAACTTTTAAGGTAGGATTCTTCTCACATTTCTTGTATTTAAAAATTAATGAAATTTTCACAGAATCAAGAGGACAATATCACTAAGTGATGGTATCAGTGAGATTAAATTTGACCGTTTAATATTAGAGTCAAGGTCAGGTCAAGGTCATTACCTTTTTCCTGGACATTAAGAATAAAAATTACTGTTTCCAATCATGTGATCCCTACTTGTAATTCAAAAGATTGAATGTTTTTCTTTTTGCATAAAAAGATACTACCATATAGGGCCTATAAGATGATACTACCAAATTT